GAAGATATTATTTGTGTATGTGTTTGGTTTTATTCTATTTTTACTGTATTTTATATTGTTGTATTGTATATTTATTGCTGTTTTATTGTGAACCACCCAGAGTCACTTTTTGTGAGATGGGCGGTATCTAAATTTGAAATATAAATAGATAGATAAAAAAAATAACCCAGCACACCTCCATCAAAGAAGGAAAACACAAGATACAAGATGGGGCGTGTGTCTCTCTCCTATAAAAAAGTGGCATTTCTCAATATTAATGTCATGAAGCAGGAGGAAATATAAAACTTTAAAAAATAGATGCTCTTGAAAGTTGAGGGGGGTTTTTTTCCTTGGCAGGGAGGCAGCAATGGCAACCTCCTGACTGATGGTTGAAAAGCATTCTCTCTGTGAGAGAGCAAGACAAAATCAAAGCAGTAGCTATGATTTAGAACAGCAAGCAGTGCCACCCAGTGTTTAAAGGCATTCTTAATTTTCAGCCCAAGTCGCACTTTTTATCATATTACAGAGACAGAAAAAAATCTTACATCTGTTGATAGGGGAAGACGTAGTTCTTCAAAAGCTATAGTGGAAATGCAACCATTTAAAAAAATTAACTACAGCTAGGTGAACTAAATTCTGCTGTGAAGGAGAAAAATCTAACATGGGAGAATATAGCTATATAACTGCAAACTGTCTGTAGCTCCAATAGTGCCTAAAAAGGAAAAATAAGTCAGGAACCAGGTAGTATGTTTCCAAACAAATGACCAAGGGAAAGGAGAGCGACCTAGAATCAAAGCTTGACTTAGACATTATTTCACAAACTATTCAAGAATTGTATCTCCAGGCACCTAAGGGTATATTTTGCAGCTGCCCTCCCTATTACATATAAAACAGTAAAGCAGCTGATGATAGATGCAAAAGTTTCACTTCTTCATAACTTCATAATAGCTTAGTAACAACACTATGCTTCAAACTGTCCATATCACAGACCCAATAAATGGCAGGGGTCTACATTTGTTTTTACCTTGCCAAGAGGCACCAGAGACATGATAGTGATGTCACCACACAGCCAGACTGGGATTTCTGGCCCTTTTCCATGAGAAGAGGGTAGGATTACTAGAACAACTACAATAATCCTTTCAGCCTCTTCATGAAAAATAGCATAACCATTATTGGGAGGATTTCCAGTAAAATTAGGCAGCCAAAAGCCAGCTGGGTGACCTTGGGCCAGTCACTCTCTCTCAGTCCTAGGAAGCAGGCAAAGGCAAACCGCTTCTGAAATCTTGCCGAGAAAACTGCAGGGACTTGTCCAAGCAGTTGCCAGGAGTCAACACTGGCTCAAAAACACCCCCCAAAAAATAAAAGTCTCGTTGGGCTCCAGGAGTTAAAAAGAAGGGACTGCAATAACATATAACCCATAGGTTGCCCATCGATTAGACTCTCCAGTTCTGCCTTGTTGCTTAGCAGGTCAAACCACATTCTACCACTTCTGTTCCAACTCCTGTGCAGGTACAAGAATATTATGAGGTACTAATGAGTGATTTGGGGGAAGGAGAAATAAAATGGATGATTTTTTTTCTTCCTTCTCATCACAAGCTCCCAATACCAGCCTGGCATCTTTCTGACCAAAAAGATATCTCAGGACCAAAATAGCTTCCAGTGTGATTACTAGCAATCAGAATGTTAACATTTCCTGTTTAATTACTATGTTCCTATGAAGGGTTGGTGGGATTGATCAGAGTTCCAAGTGATCTTTTAAAAAACCGAGTATAATTTATCATGGAGCTGAGATCTATGTTATAATTGGTTTTCAACCTCACAGAAATGGAAGGTTTAAAATAGAATGAAAAGTTACTGAAAATCAATGAAAAAAAATCAAATGAAAAGATATCGAGATTGATGTAGGCCTGTAGATGTACTTAACAGAAGTGTGCTGATTCTTATTCCAATTTTCAGCTTGGTATTTCTGAAGTATATTAACTGACAAAAACAATTCTGCTCCTATTTCCCTTGAATAAAATGATTATGCTTACCTCAAACACGATCAGAACATAAACACCTGCTAAAATGACTGATGCTATTGTGACTTGAGCCTCTACATTTGCATGAAGATATTGATGTGTCACAGAAAGGGGAATGATTTCTGATTCCTGAAGAAATGCTTGGATACTTATGGAAGTTTCTTTTCTGTTGAAAGAGATTTCAAAATTCTATTTGGTAGACTGAAATAGAAATGATTACAGGTTCATACTGCTAGAAGTTTTAAGCATTACTAATTGTTAAAATTAAGCTATTTATCTTGCTGCTATTACTCTGTGTTTCAAAATAGTCAATGTGATGATTTAGAATGTTTTAAAACATTGAGATCTTCTTAGGTCATTTTCACAACTAGCACTAAAATGGAACTTCTGAAAAGAGATTTAGAACAAGGATATACAGGTTGTTCTCATTTAGCGACTGCCTCAGGTACTGACCATTCACAATTACAAGGGTGATGAAAAAGTAACTTTGTGACCAATGCCCATATTTAGGACAACAAAAGCCTTCAGTGTGAAACTGATTAAGGTCTGCTCAATTTCAGGCAGCAGCACAGCAGCCAGAGGGTTCTAATTAACTAATTAAGGTGGCAGAGCTTAGCTTGTTTCTTAAGGTTAGCACTTTTTAGGGAAGTGCTGTGCTGTGGAGAAAAGCAGCTTGGGAAGAGATGGCCTGTGAGGGGGGAAAAAGGGAGGGAAAAAACAGGTCAGGCACAGGGCACTGTAGGAGAGAACTTTATCTGAATAAATGGCAGCAACCAGCAATCATTGCAGCATCTCTCTCTCTCTCTCTCTCTCTCTCTCTCTGTCATGTGGTTCGCTTAGCAATCACATCATTTAGTGACCATTTCACTGGAACCAATCATAGTCACTAAACGAGGATTACCTGTATACAAATGAACATCAGTGTAAACATTCATGAAGATGGGTTCGCTTTCTTTTATTATGCCACCTGAAGAATTAAATATAGTTGGGTAAGGAGGAAGAAAGGATGTGTCTTGGCAGCCTTCTTTTTCCCAGAAAAAGAGAAAAGAAGGGATCCATGAGACAGAATCTTGCTAGGGCCACATCACCCTGGGCACAGAGAGAACTGCTCCTGTCTGTGCTCCTGCACTCTGAAGATGCCAGTCACA